GGGGGGGGGGGGGGGGAGGGGGGGAGGGAGGGAGGGAGGGAGGGAAGAAGGAGGAAGGGAAGGATGGAAGAGAGAAAGAACGAAGGAAAGGAAGGAAGGAAGAAAAGAAGGAGGAAGGGATGGAAGGAAGGGAGAAAGGAAGGAAGGAAAAAAGGAAGGAGGGTGGGAAGGAAGGAAGTGGGAAGGAAGGGAGGGAAGGGAGGAAGGAAGGAGGGGGAGGGAAAGAAGGAAGGAAGAAAGGAAAGAAGGAGGAAAGAAGGAAGGAAGGAAAGAAGGAGGAAGGGAAGGAAGGAAGTGGAAAGGGAGGGAGAGGAGGAAGGGAGGGAAGGGAGGGAGGAAGGGGGAGGAAGGAAGGAAGGAAGGAAGGAAGGAAAGGATGAGAGAGTCAAAGTTCCATTCTCAGTAACTTTTTATGTCCGACATGACTAACTTGATCTCTTGGTTTGATGTATTTCTTGTATGCCTGTGTGTGGTTGCACATATACTGATACAATTTTAATGCACTTTTTCCAAAGCCAAGAACCGTGGCATTGCGATCCCAGTGGACCTGGATAGCCAAGTGAACACGCTCTTCATGAAGAGCCACACCAACATGATCCAAAGAGCAGCCATGGGCTGGCGGATGTCCGCTAGGAGCGGCCCCCGCTTTAAAGAGCCCCTCGGAGGACCTTCCTGGGATTACAGGAACATCATTGAGAAACTCCAGGTATGCTAGAAAAGTGTGTCCCCCAAATACTCAGGTAAAACAGGGTCTAGATCAGGGAATGGCCAAAGTGGGCAACTTTAAGACCTGTGGACTTCAACTCTCAGAATTCCCCAGCCAGCATGTTTTACCTATTTTATATGTATATGTTTTGGGAAGGAAGAAGAGGAGGAAAGGGGGAAGAGGGAGAGGGAGGGCAAGAGGGAGGGACAGGAAGAGACAGGAAGGGAGGGAGGGAGGGAGGAAAAGGAAGGAAAGGAGAGAGGAAGGGACAGGAAAGGAAGGAAGGAAGGGATGGAGGGAGTGATGGAGGGAAGGCAGGAAGGAAGGGACAGAGGAAGGAAGGAAGGGAGAGAGGGAGGGTGAGAGGGAATGACAGGAAGAGACAGGAAGGAGGGGAGGGAAAAAGAGAGGAAGGGACAGGAAAGGGAGGAAGGGATAGAGGGAGGAAGGGAGGGAGGAAAGAAGGATGGAAGGAAGGAAGGGAAAGAGGGAGGGAGAGGGAGAGGGAGTGAGAGGAAGAGACAGGAAGGGAGGGAGGGAGGATAGGAAAGGAAGGAAGGGACAGGGGGAGAGAAGGCAAGAAAGGAAGGAAGGAAGGGATGGATGGATGGAGGCCAGGAGACAGGGAAGGTAAGAAGGAGAGAGGAAGGAAAGAAAGAAGAAAGGGAGGGAAGAAACTTTGGACATCCCTGGTCTAGGTGATGACTGATCATCGTGTTTTTGAGTTGTTGAATGAAATCCACACAACCCATTGGTGTTGTAAGTTGTCAGTATGTGCTTGCTGTTTCCCCTTTGTCAACTTAGTTGCCTTGAAATGGGAAAACATCAAAAACAAAGCTTGCATCCTGCTGTTTTTGTCAGAAAACTATCCAGATGCTTCAGCCAAGAATCCTTATTTTACTGTCGTTCTTTTAGGACGTGGTGGCCTCCTTGGAAGAGCAGTTCAATCCTATGATGCAAGCTGAATTTTCGGTGTTGGTGGATGTCTTACGGAGCCCTGAACTTCTCTTCCCCGAAGGGAGTGAGGCTAGGATTAGATGTGGAGCCTTCATGTCCAAGTAAGGGCTGAAGCGATGTGACAAAGTTACTCCAGAACATGTTTCACGGCTCAGTTTCTGTGGGGTCCTTGGGGGGGGGGGTCTCTGAGCTTGGTGGTTTTCTCTTTTTTCTTTGACGTTTCATGACCTAGTTAGGTAGCATCATCAGGAGGATGTGAGTTTGAATCCTAGCTAGAGACAGATATTTCTCTCTCTGGCCACACTGAGAATATATCTGCTGAACAAAACTCAGCACTGGCGACAGGAAGGGAATCTGGCCAGTAAAACACTCTGCTAGCTCCATTCATTTGTCCAGATTCCACCCGCAAGGGATTATGGGGTTGTTAAAAGAGGATGATAATCAGTGCTAGCTAGAAAATGTTACCTAACTGGAGGATGAAAAGTCTGCGAGAAGACCACCAAGCTCAGAGAGCACCAAGATTGTCTTCTCCTCCGCCTCCTGCTCCCTGCAAACCCTCCTAGTACTGATGAGGTTCCCTAATTGGGTCATGAAATGTCTGCAAGAAAACTACCAAGCTCAGAGACCCCACAGTCCTCCTCCCCCCATTCCTCTTATTCCTCCCCCTCTTCGCCTTCTCCTCCTCGCCTTCTCCTCCTCCTCCTCCTCCCAAACTCCACTCCCTTCTAGCACTGAAGTCATCATCTAGCCAAGTAATGAAATATCTGCAAGAAAACAACCAAGCTCAGAGACCATCAAGGATCCGATGCAGAGGTGGGTATTCAGCCGGTTCTGACCGGTTCTAGAGAACCGGTAGCGGAAATTTTGAGTAGTTCAGAGAACTGGCAAATCCCACTGGAAATTTTGTCGTATTCTTCCCCTGCCACGCCTACCAAGCCACGCCCACAGAACCGGTAATAAAAAAAATTGAACCCCACCACTGATCCTATGGTATAATGCTGAGCTACAAATATTTTCTTCTGTGAGTGTTAATTTTCTTTCTGGAAGGTTCCTTGTCATGTTTTTTTTCCTTCATTAACCTCACACAACATGGAAAAGCAAAACGTGATTTACCTTGGAGGCTGAAAAAAACCCTTTAACGAAGAGGAAGCTGTTACAGTAATTTATTCCCTCTCTGAGCTAATGTATTTCCAATAAAGGAGAATATTTGTAGCTCAAGGGTGAACTGTGGACTTCTTAGTGTTCTCTGAGTTTGGTTGTTTTCTTGCAAACGTTTCATGACCCAACTAGGTAACATCATCAGTTCTAGTAAGGAGTTGGCTTGGCTCTCAGTTATATTTCTTTGCAAGGGAAATAATGTTACATTTTGCCTGATGTTTTATTTTAAGGTTGATCAACCATACAAAACGGCTAATGGAGAAGGAAGAAAAACTTTGCATCAAAATCCTCCAGACTTTGCGGGAAATGCTCGACCAGAAAGATAGCTTTGTTGAAGAGGTAGGCCCAGATCTTATTCCCGAAAAGTATGTTAGATACAGATACAAAAGAATAGAGTTGGAAGGGACCTTATAATAAGGTCACTTAGTCCAACCTATACCCTTTCTGATGTGCTGTATCGGCTGCGATTTTTAAGTAAAAAGTGTGCAAATCTAATGGAGGATAAATACTTTCATCAGATTTTCAAGGCAAAGTGAATGAATTCTAGGGGGAAATTTGAACCATCTTGAAAAAAAGGAATGGAATGGAATGGAATGGAATGGAATAGAATAGAATAGAATAGAATAGAATAGAATAGAATAGAATAGAATAGAATAAAATAGAATAAATATTGGAATGAAGAATATAATAAGAATAGAATAGAACAGAACAGAATAGATATTGGAATAAAGAATAGAATAGAAGGAATAGAATGAATAGAATAGAATTAAAAAAAGAATAGAATGAATAGAATAGAATAAAAAGAAAAGAATAAAAAGAATAGAATAGATATTGGGATGAAGATTAGAATAGTATAGAATTAATAGAATAGAATAGAATAGAATAGAATAGAATAGAATAGAATAGAATAGAATAGAATAGAATAGATATTGGGATGAAGAATATAATAGAATAAGAATAGAATAGATAGAATAGAATAGAATAGAATAGAATAGAATAGAATAGAATAGAATAGAATAGAATAGAATAGAATA